TGCTAACACCTCCTCCTTATGAACCTCAATCCCGTCTAGTCTAATAGCCTGTATCTCAGTATTCTCCTCGACTACATTGTCTTTTTCCTGCGTGAATACTGACGAAAAATATTCATTTAGCACCTCTCCTATCTCTTCGGACTCCACGCACAACTTCCCACTACTGTCTTTGACCGGCCCCAATCTTACTCTAGTCATTCTTTTATTCCTGACATACCTATAGAAAGCTTTAGGGTTTTCCTTGATCCTACCTGCTAAAGACTTCTCATGTCCCCTCCTGGCTCTTCTTAGCTCTCTCTTTAGGTCCTTCCTGGCGAACTTGTAACTCTCAAGCGCCCTCACTGAGCCTTCACGCCTCATCTCTACATAAGCCTCCTTCTTCCTCATGACAAGAGATTCAACTTCTTTAGTAAACCACGGTTCCCTCGCTCGACCACTTCCTCCCTGTCTGACAGGTACATACTTCTCAAGGACACGCAGTAGCTGTTCCTTGAACAAGCTCCACATTTCAATTGTGCCCAGCCCCTGCAGTTTCCTTCTCCACTCTATGCATCCTAAATCTTGCCTCATCGCCTCATAATTGCCTTTCCCCCAGCTATAACTCTTGCCCTGCTTTATATACCGATCCCTTTCCATCACTAAAGTAAACGTAACTGAATTGTGGTCACTATCACCAAGTGCTCTCCGACCTCCAAATCTAACACCTGGCCTGGTTCATTACCCAGTACCAAATCCAATGTGGCCTCGCCTCTTGTTGGCCTATCTACATACTGTGTCAGGAAACCCTCCTGCACACATTGGACAAAAACTGACCCATCTGAAGTACTCGAACTATAGCGTTTCCAGTCAATATTTGGAAAGCTAAAGTCCCCCATAACAACTACCCTGTTACTTTCGCTCCTATCCAGAATCATCTTTGCAATCTTTTCCTCTACATCTCTGGAACTTTTCGGAGGCCTATAGAAAACTCCCAACAGGGTGACCTCTCCTTTCCTGGTTCTAACCTCAGCCCATACTACCTCAGTAGACGAGTTGTCATCAAATGTTCTTTCTGCCACCGTAATACTGTCCTTGACTAACAATGCCACACCTCCCCCTCTTTTACCACCTTCCCTGATCTTACTGAAACATCCAAACCCCGGAACCTGCAACAACCATTCCTGTCCCTGCTCTATCCATGTCTCCGAAATGGCCACAACATCGAAGTCCCAGGTACCAACCCATGCTGCAAGTTCACCCACCTTATTCCGGATGCTCCTGGCATTGAAGTAGACACACTTCAAACCACCTTCCTGCCTGCCGGTACACTCCTGCAACCTTGAAACCTTATTTATGACCTCACTACTCTCAACCTCCTGTACACTGGAGCTACAATTCAGGTTCCCACCCCTCTGTTGAATTAGTTTAAACCCTCCCAAAGAGCATTAGCAAATTTCCCCCCCCCAGGATATTGGTACCCCTCTGGTTCAGGTGTCGACCATCCCGTTTGTAGAGGTCCCACCTACCCCAGAATGAGCCCCAATTATCCAGGTATCTGAATCCGTCCCTCCTGCACCATCCCTGTAGCCACGTGTTCAACTGCTCTCTCTCCCTATTCCGCGCCTCGCTAGCACGTGGCACGGGTAACAAACCAGAGATAACAACTCTGTTTGTTCTAGCTCTAAGCTTCCACCGTAGCTCCTTGAATTTCTGCCTTACGTCCCCATCCCTTTTCCTACCTATGTCGTTGGTGCCTATGTGGACCACGACTTGGGGCTGCTCCCCCTCCCCCTTAAGGATCCCGAAAACACGATCCGAGACATCACGGACCCTGGCACCTGGGAGGCAACACACCAACCGCGAGTCTCTTTCGTTCCCACAGAATCTCCTATCTGTCCCCCTAACTATGGAGTCCCCAATGACTAATGCTCTCCTCCTCTCCCCACTTCCTTCTGAGCAACAGGGACAGACTCTGTGCCAGAGACCTGTACCCCATGGCTTAACTCTGGTAAGCCGTCCCCCCCAACAGTATCCAAAACGGTATCCTTGTTTTGAGGGGAATGGCCACAGGGGATCCCTGCACTGTCTGCCTGTTCCCTTTCCGTCCCCTGACTGTAACCCATCTACTTTTTTCCTGTACCTGAGGTGTGACTACCTCCCCGTAACTCCTCTCAATTACCCCCTCAGCCTCCCGAATGATCCGAAGTTCATCCAGCTCCAGCTCCAGTTCCCTAACACGGTTTCCAAGGAGGTGGAGTTGGGTGCACTTCCCGCAGATGAAGTCAGTGGGGACACTAGTGGTGACCCTTACCTCCCACATTCTACAGGAGGAGCATACAACTGCCCTAACATCCATTCCCACTGTTCTGAATTCCCAAACAGACAAATTTAAAAAAAAATACTAGTAGCCTTACCAAATCGGCGCTCAGAACCTTTTTTTTTGGTTAGAGGAGGAGGATGGGTGGGAGACACTACCTAGGTAGTGTTTCGGGTAAAGCAACCGCCCAAATATATTACCTCACTTACTCCAAAAATGGAGTCACGCGAGGTAAGACTTTTATAACCGAAAAGCTCACCTTCCCAGGCTGCCCTCGCGCTTCCTCCCGGACTCCCGCCGCTGAAACAACTGAAAAGCTGTACCACTTAATTGTTAATTGTTAACTTGCCAGGCTTTGATTAAATTTTAAATCTGGTAGGTTGACTCTGGTTAGTTTTTATGTTTATTCATTTGTGGGTGTCACTGGCTGGGCCAGCATTTATTGCCTGTCCATAGTTGCCCTTGAGAAGGTGGTGGTGAACTGTCTTCTTGAACTGCGATAGTTTGTGTGCTGTAGGTTGACCAACAATGCCATTAGGGAGGAAATTCCAGGATTTTGACCCAGCAACAGTGAATGAACAGCGATACATTTCCAAGTCAGGATAATGAGTGGCTTGGAGGGGAACTTGCAGGTGGTGGTGTTCCCATATATCTGCTGCCCTTGTCCTTCTAGATGGAAGTGGTCATGGGTTTGGAAGGTGCTGCCTAAGGAATTTTGGTGAATTTCTGCAGTGCATCTTGTAAATAGTACACCGTGCTGCTACTGAGTGTTGGTGGTGGAGGGATTGGATGTTTGTGGACATGGAGCTAATAAAACAGACTGCTTTGTCCTGGATGATGTCAAGCTTCTTGAGTGTTGTTGGAGGGGCACCCATCCAGGCAAGTGGGGAGTGTTCCATCACAGTCCTGACTTGTGTCTTATACATGTTGGACAGGCTTTTAGGAGTCAGGAGGTAAGTTACTCGCCATGTTATTCGTAGCCTCTGACCTGCTGTTCTAGCCACTGTGTTAATGTGGTGAGATCAGTTGAGTTTCTAGTCAATGGTAACTACAAGGATGTTGATAATGGAGGATTCAGTGATGGTAACACCATTGAATGTCAAGGGACGGTGGTTAGATTGTCTCTTACTGGAGATGGTTATTGCGTGGCATATATGTGGCAAGAATGTCATTTGCCACTTGTCAGCTCCAGCCTGGATATCATCCAAAGCAAAATTGAGCATCACCCCACCTGTCTTCAACAGATTTGTTTTGTCCCAGACCTAGCCCCAGTGGTCTTCCTCCCACACTATTACTTAGGCTCAGGATAGTAGGAACTTGTTTGGGAGAGCTACAAAATATTGCACTAATTGACAATCTTTCAGCACTAAGCGGTTGTGTGGAGGCTAGAATACAAAAAGTAACTAACTTTGTTGTAATTTTTAGCCGGCAAGTAGAACCACCCAAGAAAGAAGCTGCTCCAACAACTACTGTAAAAAGAGCAGATGAGTGGAAAGACCCCTGGCGCCGATCCAAATCTCCCAAAAAGAGACCAGTTTCAACAGCATCACCAGGCCGTGGACGCAAGCGACGAAGAACATCTGGGTCCTCTGTTTCAGTCTCTGGCTCATCAAGGTATGTTAGACCCTGAAATAGTCATCAATAAAAAGGATTTTAAAAATGGGGAGGTCTAATTTCCATGACATTCCTGCTGTTCTCACCAGGAATACACCAATGCCCTAGCATAAAGGTCATTGACAAAAGGGTTGGAATCTTGGATTCTTCCTTTTAATGTCTTAAGGCCTTGTGATAGGACAAGTGATATGGGCATGTGTGTTTGTAGCCTTGCATATCATTTTCTATCTTTAATAATAGTGCAAAGGAAAGATAATGCTGTAGTCTACCCTGGGTCTGGATTGGGCAGCAGAATTTCAGCAGCTGGTAAATACATCAATGAACTCACATCGGGACCAATTGGCTGCCAGTGGAAGTTACAACCAAAGGTGCTATTCAGCAAGGCCAACCTGGAAGGCCTATGATTTCCTTTTGTCAACTGTAACTCACTAGATAGAACTCTCTTTTTTTTAATTCTGATCAGAGGGTTATTGTGTCCAAACTCTCACTCCGTAGACTCTCTGATGAAATTCTGTGCAGCCTTTCCAGTATTGGAGATTTGGTATACTGTTGGTAGTTTTTCAGTTGATGCCATAAGTTGAGATCCATCTGCCCTCTCAGGTGGATGCAAAAGATCCCACTGCTTTATTTTAAGGACAGGCAAGGTATCTCTGGTGTTCTGGCTGATATTTAATCCTTAATCAATATGTCCAGAACAGATATCCAGCTGTCATTGCATTGGGGAGCTTCTGTGCTTAAATTGCTGCATTTGCTACATTGCAACAGAGACTGCACTTCAATCTTTCAGTACCCAGCAATTGTATGGAGACATTCACTGCGACCGTGAAGGGAACTATATAAATTCACTTCTCTAAATTGTTGATGTCGAGCCTCCATGAGGACCAAAATAAACATCCCTATTTCCCCCCACACCCCAGAGCATATGACTGTACAAATGACTAGAGATTAACTTCCAGGAATTCTGGAACGAGCAAAATCAATGCAGTTGAAATATGCTATTCTCGTCTTAAACCAGGAATGGGGAAAGGATGAAAAAAATGCTAAAGCACTCTACTGGCATTGGATATATGATTTATAATTTTCCCTTTCCAGCTATTTCCATCCACCAACTGAACTAGCGATCCTGTACCCAGTACAAGTCTGTCACTTCTCCTGTAGCCAAACTTCCTTTTATCGTGTGCACCTTCCTCAGTATGTAGCATAACTAAGGACCTGCAGAATTGACTTGCTTTGAATAACTATTTGGTTTATTAGAAAAATAAAGCAAAATTTACGATCTGATTAAAGTTCAATGATTGGAAATTTACTGATGCCTGGCTCATTTTGGCTTTTCCCTACATAAAATATTGCATTGTGTCACCACTTGCTGCTGGACATGCTGTGTCCCCTCTTCCTCATCTATTCTATATCTTCCCATTTCAAAACCTGTCTTGCTCCTTAACCTAGTTCTCAGCTCGCTGCATTCTCCTCACACAAATAATTGCAGTCACTTACAGTTTTTCTGCTGGTGAAAATAAGTCTGCTATTAGTATTTTTTGCTCATCTTAAGCCCCAACCAAAAATTTGTTCACTAGATAACAAGTTTTGAGAGCTTAGTGAAATGTGGTTTATGGTATTGAGCCTTACAAACCAGCAAGCAACAAATTATATCCTGAACTGTATTTCTCATCACATCAGGGTCGGTATAGTTGGGCTCTGATTCCCTGAGATGTGAAAGTCTAGTGAATAAGAGGATTTGATCATCTTTGATTATAAAGATGTCTGACTAACCCACCTAACCTTAACAGAAGTTGGAGAGGTTGTAGTTGGACCACTTTTAAGTAAAATGTTGATTTTCTGCTCGTTTTGCCAAAGTGCATAACATCATTTTTTTCACACATTATATTCCATCTGCCAAGTTTTAGCCCGCTCACTTAACTATATCCTTCTGTAGACTCTATCATCCTCACCACTTGCCTTCCTGCATATTTTTGTGTCATCTGCAAATTTGACATTCACTTCCCTCATCCAAGTCCTTAATATATATTAATAATTGTGGCTCCAGCACTGATTCCTGTGGTAATCCACTAGTGATAAATTGCCATCCTGAGAATACCTCCCTCGTCCCACCTCTGTCTTCCACTAGTTAGCCAGCCCTCATCCATGATAATATACAACCCCAACACAATGGGCATTTTTTTATTCATTTGTGGAATGTAGGCATCAGTGGCAGGGCTACCATTTATTACCCGTCCTTTGTTGCCCTTGAGAAGGTGATGGTGAGCTGCCTTTTTGAAGTGCTCCAGTCTATGTGCACCTATCTTATTAAGTCGCCTTCTGAATGGTAACTTAATGAACACCTTTTAGAGAAATGCAAACCTATTATCTTTATCTTGTTTGTTACCTCCTCAAAGCATTCTAATAAGTTTGTCAAGTGTGATTTCCCTTCATGAAGCCACGCTGACTCTGCTTGATTTATATTATATATTGCAAAAAGCTGTGCTGTTACATCCTTTATAACAGATTTAAACGTCATCCTACTAACAAATGTTAAGGTAACTAGCCTATGGTTATCTATTTTTGTCCTCCTCTCTTTTTAATAAGAAAAAATTGTCAGTTTTCCAATCCTCTGACTTTGCCAGAATCGAAGTATTCTCGGAAGATTACTATCAGTGCATCATCTCTATTGTTACTTTCTTTATGATACGAGGGTGCATCCCATCAAGTTCAGGGGTCTTATTGGCTTTTGGTTTTATTCACAAATGGGATGTGGGCGTTGCTCGCTGGCCATCATTTATTGCCTCACCCTAGTTGTCCTTGAGAATGTGGTGATGGTCTGCAGTCCATGTGCTGTAGATGACCCACAATGCCCTTAGGAAGGGAATTGCAGGATTTTAACCCAGTGATAGTGAAGGAATGGTAATATATTTCCACGTCAGGATGGTGACTCGCTTTGAGGCGAACTTGCATATATCAGGACGTATCTGTGGGTTTGGAAGATGCTGCCCACCATCTTTGGTGAATTTCTGCGTGCATCTTGTCGATAGTTGCAGCAGTGTATACTGAGTGTTGATGGTGAAGGGAGTGGATGTTAGTGGATGTGGTGCCAATCTTGTCTCTTATTGAAGATGGCTATTGCCTGGCATTTGTATGGTGTGAATGTTAATTGCCACTTGTAAGCCTAAGACTGTCCAAGTCTTGTTGCATTTGAACATGGACTACTTCAGTATTGGAGTTGCAAATGTTGCTGAAACATTGTAAAAGCATTGGCGAGCAATCCAACTTCTAGCCTTGCGATAGAGGGAAGGTCACTGATGAAACAACTGAAGATGTTTGGGCCTAGGAAACTACCCTGAGGAACTCCTGCAGTGATGTCCTGGAGCTGAGATGATTGACCTCCAACAACCACAACCATCTCCCTATGTGCCAGGCATGACTCCAACCAGTGGAGTGATCGCCCATTGATTCCAGTTTTGCTTGAGCTTCTTGATGCCACACTTGGCTGAATGCTGCCTTGATGTTGAGAGCTACTACTCTCACCTCGCCTCTGGAATTCAGCTCTTTTGTCCATGTTTGAATCAAGGCTGCAATGAGGTCAGGAGCTGAGTGGCCCTGATAGAGCCCATAGAGCAGGTTATTGTTAACACTTGACACTTTCCATCACTTCACTGATGATACTGATGATGCACTGATGGAATAGTAATTAGCCGAGTGGATTTGTTCTGGTTTTTGAGTACAGGACATACCTGGGCCGTTTTCTACGTTGTTGGATAGATATCAGTATTGCAGCTGTACTGGAACAACTTGAGTAGGGGAGTGGCAAGTTCTGGAGCAGCAGACTTTAGTACTGTTTCTGGAATGTTGTCAGGGCCTATTACCATTGCAGCGTCCAGTGCTTCCAACTGTTTCTTGATACCACATGTAGTGAATCAAATTGACTGAAGACTAGTTTCTGTGATGCTGGATCCACTGGAGGAGGCCAAGGTGGCTCATCCACTTGGCATTTCTGGCTGAAGATTGCTGCAAATGCTTCAGCCTTGTATTTTGCACTGATGTGTTGGGCTCATCCATCATTGATGATGGGGATATTTGTGGTGCCTTCTCTTCCAGTGTGTTTTTTAAATGTCCATCACCATTCACAAAGAATGTGACAGGTCTGCAGACCTTTGATCTGATCCATTGGCTGTGAGATTGTTTATATGTGTCTTTCGTTTGCTGCTTGTACTGTTTGGAACATAAGTAGTCCTGTTTGGTAGCTTCACCAGGTTGACACCTCGTTTTTAGGTGCTGCTCCTAGCATGGCCTCTTGCACTCTCCATTGTATCAGGGTTGATCCACTGATTTGAAGGTAATGATTGAATGGGGATTATGCTGTGCCATGAGATTACAGGTTGTGCTGGAGTACAATTCTGCTGCTGTTGATAGCCCAACAACACCTCATGGATGCCGAGTCTTGAGTTATTAAATCTGTTTGAAAACTATTCCGTTTAGCTAAGTTGTGATAGTGCCACAAAACACAGTATGAAGTTGGGACTTCATTTCCGCAATGACTGTGCACTGGTGTACTGTTACCAATTCTGTCATAGACAGATGCATCTGCAGCCAGCGGATTGGTAAGGTGAGGTCATATATGCTTTTCTCACATGTTCATTCCCTCACCACCTGCTGCAGACCTAGTCTAGCAGCAATGTCCTTTAGGATCTGACCAACTCAATCAGTAGTGCTGCTGCCATACCACTGTTGGTGTTGGACGTTGAAACACCCCTACCCAGAATACGTTCCAGACCCTTGCCACACTCTGCTCCTTCAAAGTGTTGCTCAACGTGGAGGAGTCCTGATTGGTCATCTGAGAGAGGACTGTAAATGGTAATCAGCAGGAGGTTTCCTTGCCTAAGCCATGAGACTTCATGGGGTCTAGAGTCAATGTTGAGGACTCCCAGGGCGACTCCATCGCGACTGTATACTTGTGTAGGTCTGGGTGGGATGTTCTTCGGAGGGTCAGTTTGGACTCAATGGGCTGA